ATTCTTATAGTCCTCCTGCAAATGGATCAAAGAAATTGTCCGAGGCACACGGTCTCCAGATCCTGTCTCCAAAGGCCCTGGGCCTGCTCTCTCCCCACTCACCAAGGCAAGCCTGCCCATCAGAATGGGATCTGCCCTGAGGCCAGCCCTGGGCCAGCTGGAACGCTGCACGGACAGCAGGCCAGACCCGGTCACTCCGAGGACACAGCAGGCTGGTGCGAGGGCCCAGGGCCTGGCTTTGCACACCAGGGGAAAACACTGCTTTTGTTATCAAATACCAAATCGCAGCTCCCCAAAGTTGTCACCATCATGGGGTGCAGCAGACATCACCCTCTTTCAAAGTACGCATGGACAGTGTTTTTCCTTGGCTCACTGGAGTCCTTGTGATAGTCAGCTCCACTGCAAGGCTTCCGTGCTGTGCTGCTGGGGGAAGCGAGTCCCCTGCTCGGCATTCCTCAGAAGGCTGATAGCCAGCTGCCGGCTGTGCGGTCATTCCGGAAATCAGCAGTGTGGATCAAAGTTCCGCTCATCAGATCAATAAACACAGGGGTCAGAAAGGAAACAAGGAAGGAAGGAAGGAGACACCCATCCCTTCGCAAACGAAAATTTCTCCCAAGTTTGTTGGAGAATGAACCAAAGTTGGAAGAGTTTACATTTGCAGATTCTCTGTAAAACATGACTATGGCGATGACGGCACGCCAGTCATCCCAGGGGGTCTGAGGATTTATTCCCACAACTTCAGGGTGTCACGTGGACTCTGTGGGATGCCTTTTCAGCTCAACACAAAGTCAGGCCTGGCACAGGTGACACATCTGTTCTGCCCTACACTAGCACGGAGCAGTAACCATCCCGAGGAGCAAGAGCTGTCACAGTTCCTTGGTGGCAATGACCGACCACAGGGGCTGGTCTCCACTTCACCTGCCCAAAGGCCGGGATGTTCTCTCTGTCAGAACTGTGCCACACCCGACAGGTAGACTGGTTGCTAATATCCTGTTCAGGCCAAGTGTCTGGGCTGCAAGAAGCAGACACCAATCACACTAGCATCTGAAGGCTGCAGTGACTTTCTGAGGGTGATTTACGTCCATTTCCACTCATCTGCCGGCTGATGTGGCAGTGAGGCTGCCCACAAAGCTGCCCATCAGTAAGCAGCATGTAGCGGTTGACTGAGTCAACCTGAGACATTTAGAAACTTAAATGAACTGGTTTAGCAATTCTACAACCTAGAAGACCCACCCAAGGGTGTGTCAGTATCTGGACAGTAGAAAAGGGAAGGAGGAAGGCCAGATGCATTCCAGTCTCTGGAGGAGCTCCAGGCTTCGCCTTTGGTTTGGACGTTGTCTCCTGGCTTGCCGTGTAGACGCTTCAACTTCCCGGCACAGACTCTTCAGCCGTCCAGCATAGACGCTTCAGTCTTCTGTAGCTGACACATCAGCCTGCTGGTGCGGACTTGCACGGCACACTGGGGTGAACTCCAGACCTGGGATGGAATCCTTCGGGCTCCAGCACGCAGACACCCTCTGCACACTTCCTCATCCGACTCTGTGGCCGACCATCGTCAGGCAGCCTTGTCATTTCTTACATATCTCATGTTATCTTTCTCACTAGTAAAACCCTGACTAATACACAGCAGTACTGGGAAGCATGCGTGTGTGTGTGTGTGTGTGTGTGTGTGTGTGTGTGTGCGCACACGTGCACGGCTACGAGGGCAGCAGCACATCACAGGCTGCTTGAAATGCCAAGCGCTTCTGTGCCTCTTCAGACACCGCTGTGTGTAAACCACAGTCAGCTCAATCTCCGACTCCCTGGGCACATCCGTCATGGCCTCCGGCCCCACTTCTCTGCTTGGGTCTCTGCCTAGCACACCTTGTGTGCGAGTTTGCAGAAATGTGAGGGAACAAACATTTGCCAGAACAAAAACCAAGACGAAGGCACTGATGAGAAGAACTTGAAACGCCACAGGCTGGCAGCCGCGGTGGGCATCGCTGTGGGCGCAGCAGTGAACACAGGTTTACCGCCGTGGTTCACGGCACAGTCCTGCGGAGACGTGGGGCAGAAGCAGGGTCTGTGTTCTCGCATGTGCAAGTAGAGGTTTAGAGGGGGGAAGGTGGAAAGGAAAATTGAGAAAAGAGAACAGAGGACAGAGATGGAATGCAATCCAAACATTCTGAACTGTTCGTTAGGCCTCAGACATTTGAGGATCTGGTGACCTTAATGGTTTCTGAATCACATCAAAAAAATGTCACAATAGATGTTTGAATTAAAACCCACCGGATTTGCCAAAAGACCAGTTGTTCAAAATTGGCAGCATTCCAGAGAACTTACAAGGCTGCACACCACCCAGGCTGGGAGATCTGCTAACTCCAGAGAAAGTTAATTTATCACCGTATTGATAAACGGGTAACTTTAAAAGCTTGTAATGTGGTGTTTGTGACTCATTAATTAAAATTTAGTGTAGTTTATTAGACAGCCTGGTGGCTTCTGTTATTTTATATTTGTCCTCAACCATTTGATTTTTCTCCCAGGGATTGTTTTAATTCCCACCCTCACTACCCCCATCTCTTCTCATCTGTCTGTCTTTGAAAGCAACAGGAATATAAAAAATGTGTAAATCTCAAACTGCCCTTTTGGGAGATGGCAGGATTAAGAAATAACATGAGGGGCTGGGGATTTAGCTCAGCGGCATAAGCACCTGCCTTGCAAGCGCGTGGTCGTGAGTTCGATCCCTGGTACCGATTAAAAATATGTATATATTATTAAGCACTTAAAAAGTTATTAATTAAAAAAAATTCTCAGGATAAAAGCTCTGAGTCAGGGTGACAGAATTTGAAGGTGGCTTGTTTGCTGGCAGTGGAGTCCTCGACTTATCTGTTGCTAGAGAAGAGCCTGCGGCTCACCCCCAGGACCCAAACCAGGAAGCCAAACTGTTTCTGCAGGTTTTGCTTGGTGAAAACACCTCGAAAGGCAAAACCAAGACACCAGGCAATGCGGCTTATTTTTTTGTCTCCTATTATTCTTTCTTTTTTTCATCTCATTGTCAGCAAACAAGTGATTTTGGTGACACAGGAGAAATGTAAACATTTTCAACATAAAACAACCGGGTTTTTGTGAGATCTGTGTTTTTAAAATAACTCCACAAATCAAGCGGACTGGTAAATTTCTCAAACTACCCCAGCGCTCTTCCGAGTACACGGTTTCAAAAAGTAAAGAAACACAATCATATTTTAAAGAAAATATGTCGCCAATATGTTTAAAGGATAGATTGAGAAACCACAAACAAGTTTCCTGAAACTAAGCCTCCGCGTTCCATCTGAGTTTTGGTGATCACTCAATGTTCTCTGCTGGGTTCTCTTCATCCAGCTGCCGTGGTTCGATCCCTTATCACATTTGCAAGCTGGTCTCACGAAGAAACTCAAAAATGTTCCGCATACACAGCACCCAGCAGACAGTTTACTTTAGCACACACGGATATTTGTGTAGTATTTTTTCTGCTTTTACTCCACACAAGAAAAACCGAGTCTCAAAAAAAAAAAAAAAAAAAAAAAAGCACCTGGTTCCGTACGGTGGCAGCAGTGTCTGAGACCAACCCAAAAGCCACTGTCCCCAGAAGCACCGATGGCCCCATCCTCTCAGCACTGTCCTAGAATCTGTAGACAGCATGACAAGTCGCCCTTCACTTGCTGTCACAGAAGTGGAGAGAACCCCGAGCACAGCAACCCTCTGTCTCTGGGGTGACTCAGTCTCCCCACCTGCACGCAGCCCGCACTGCCCGTGCTGTCCTTACTGTCAAACGACCTGGAGAGGACTCCTCCGCTGGCTGAGGAGGAGCTGGCAGAAGCTCGCTGAGTCACTCAGCACTCCACCTGAGAAAGCGGAGACTTTGTATGTGAGCTTGGGAAAACTTTTATGAATACTCCATGGTCCTCTGGTTTTTGCCTCCTCCCAAAACTAACTACAACCAGCAGCTGGCACAAAGACATGAAATCGTCCACCTGAGAAATTCAAAATAAAATTCAATAAAAACGTCAGCATTTTGATATGTTCATGACACACCAGTTTTAACAATCAATTTTTTAAGTAAATATATTTACCACAAGACGGACTATAATTTCTAATTTAAAAAGAAAAACAAAACGGAGCAAAATTACTGTGGAAAAATGCTAACCAGTTCTTTGAGTTCATATTTGGAAGAAAAAAACTTCCTATGTATTTCAGTGCAGCGTTAAAGAGTAGTGAGTGTGTATATATCCAAAATGTATAAGCTGTAGAGTTTTGTGGTCATCTTCCTCTCTCAAGATTGCCTGGTGACAAAATAAAACCTTGTACTTGCACAGGAGGAGCTAACGTTGAGCTGCTGGCCTCGTGAGCTCAGAGCAGAACACTCATGCGTCACCTGAGCAGGATGTAGGCAACCCAGAAAAGGTACAACAGGTAGCCTGTCACACTGACGGCTCAAAGAGAAAGACACCCTCCAACTGCGCACCTCCCTAACCTACAGCTCGGTCACGTGGCCCTGATCAGGGTGCCTGCAGACACAGAGCCCCGCTCAGAAGCCCGGTGACTTCCGGCACGCACGACCAAGTATTGCAAAAGCTGTCTTCCTCCTCCCGGGCTGCAGCTCGCAGTCAGTCTCCGGCGGCCCTGCTCTCCGCGGCAAGCATCTCATTAGACTAAAGCAGGCAGCGCGGGCAGCACACTTGATTTGCCGCAGCTACAGCACTGAGCTTCCATCACCATGACAGCGGCAACCACATCGTGTCCGGAAAGCCGGCCAACCGCTGGCTTTTAAAGAACACACACATTTTACATGCAGAGAACGAAGCCTCTGCGTGTGTGTGTGTGTGTGTGTGTGTGTGTGTGTGTGTGTGCATGCATGCGTGCACACGTGTGTGCATGTGTGTGTGCATGTGTGTGTGTGTGTTGGTGTTTCCTTTCTAGTAGCCCAACTAAGAAGAATGTGCAGAGCAGCTTTCTGTCGACATGAGCTGAAAGGTAACGACACTTGTGTTTCTTTGGTAATTACATCCTAGTAATAACCTGAATTATGTCGCAACTGTCAGAATGGGGGTTTCCAACATTGCAGTTTTCATTAACCCTCTTTTGTTGCCAAAGAAACCAGACTGTGACATCACCTTTTCGTCCCAGGCCTGCAGCAGTGAGGGCCAAACTGGGCTTCTAGGAGAGAGTGTTGGGCTTTGGACCAAAGAAGGAAGCAGGCAGGCAGGCAGGCAGGCAGGCAGGAGGAGGGAGACAGGGAGAAACCTCCCACAGACTGTTGTTCAGAGAGCGCGTACGCTCAGAGTATGGCTACAAGGGTGAATATACCCTGCTTGGATTTAGCAACTCTCGGCTGCCTACAGCACGTGTGTACAGGTCCCAAACCCTGTGTCTCGGCTCGGGTCTGCCCGTGGGAGGCCATAAGCGTGTCTACACTCCTGAAGCTGTTCGGGGAACGCCTGGGGTGCAACAGTCCTCATGCATGGGAAGAGCCCGAGGCGTCCTCCATGCCCCGTTAGCTTTGCGGAAGCAAGTCAGTTTGTCCTGTGAAGATATTTTTTCTTCCTCTTTCTTTGGTAAAGCAGAGCAGGGTTCCCCATGGCCCATTTCATTCATTCTGGGGTCTTGAGAGTATCCCCAAATATTTCTTCTAAGAGGCAATATCCCTACGGTTACACCCCACCACACACACAGTTAGCCAGGGCCAAGCTTCCACTAGGCTTAACTCGGCCACAACTTGATCAGTTATTGAGAAAGTAAAAAATCCAACTTTTTACAATGTGAAGTTTCCCTGAATAATGTGCAGTCATGTTAGAAAGAAATCAAAACTTTCTCTCTTCAAATTATGGTGCTATGAAGACAGTTTAAAACCAAAGCTTTGTGCTTACTGAGCAAGAAGGACTCTGCCCCTTAGTTCACTCAATTATTGAGTTTTGTTTTTGTTTTGTTTTGTTTGCTTTATGAGGGAAAAGGGAGGTTTAGTAGATTTTCATTTTGATCACTTTCATATAAGCTGATTTTATTAAAGGGGGAGAGAGAGAGAAGAAGAGGAAGAGGAAAACAGAAATTAAGTCTTGATGGATGATTTAATTTGGCCTGCATGTCTGTCCTAGCCAGAGCGGTTCCGAGTGCCGCCTCACAGTCAATCACATACCACATTCGGTTCCACAGAACCTCGAATGGACTCGGACACTGACTTCACTCCAAAATACTTACTTGGGTAAATAAAATAAATCTTCCTTAATATTCAAAAATATTCCCCAAGCCTTATGAAAAACAACAACAACAAAAAAAGCTTAGCACAATCTACATTTTAAAAAAATTAAGAGTGGAAATCGTGGTTTTCTGCTCAGTTCTGGTGGGGTTTCTGATTCTGACCGTTGAGGTCCATACTTCCCTGCCTCATCACAAATGTGCGATTGCTGTGGCTTGTGCTTGGGTCAGATGTGTCCAGGGGCTGGCACCCGACTGGTCAACTGGTCAACCTGGCAGTGATGCCTAAATCTGAAATTAACTAATGCTGGCATATACATCTATATATATTAGGTCTCAAGAAATTCAGCCAGCATTTTTAATGATCTCAAATATTTTTAATTTCAAGAAAATGTTAAGTTAAACAGACGAGAGAAAAGAAATTTGGTGGCATGACTTATATTAACTAAGAAGGAAGAAGACTTGCTCTGAGGGCACACTCTAAGCCTGACCCATTCCTGGGTGGCGCCATGTTCCTCCCTGTGCCTGGCACTGTGGTTACACTTCTTCAAACCCACCGGGAGCACGCGTCACTCTGTCCACACAAAGCTTACTTGGTTGGTATTTTGCAGTCAGAGCCAGCCCGAGGGGCAAGTGAACACTGTGGGTCTCACATGCAAATGTTAAGGGGAAACAGCTGACCTTTCCTGAGGGATCACTGTTCCGTACAGGGTCCCGTTTCCAACAGTTTGGTGAAGTATGTATCATTTCCACTCCACAGATGAGGAAGCCGAGACTTAGGGATCTTCAATAACTTCCAAAGTCACACAGCTCAGAAGTGGTGGATATAGGATTCACCCAGGCAGTGTGTCACCAAAGACTCTATAATTAATCACTCTGCCCGGTGTCCCAGCTTTGCTACGAATCCAGTGACAAGGGTCACATCATTGCCTTTCTTTAACATGGAGAATGGTAATCGGGACGAGATAGTTGTTTTGGGTTCTGACATTCTACAGTCCTGTGACTTGCTTTCTCTGGCAATGCTTTGGGTTGGGGGAGAGCTCACTGTGACTATAAGGCCATGGTTACTAAAGGGCAAAAGGCACATATAATGTGTCAGTAAGAGCTCTCTCAATAGTATCAATAAGACCAGCTAAACTAGCACTTTGGACTGTTGATTTGAGGCAGAATTACCAAGAAGAAGTATAGAGAAATAACAGGAAGAAAGGTCAAGCTCCCTTCCCTGAAGTGGGAAATGGAGACCCAGCCTCCGTACTCAAGTGGCTCAGGCTGTCTTCCACATCATTTGACAGGCTCTGATTTAAGTTTTCCTGAGGCAGAGAATCCTCAGGGTGATGGACAGATGAGGTGTAAGGGTGCTCTGATGGATCCAGTCTTGCTTTTGGTCCTAATCTTTTCTGTTCCCCTAATCCCCCCTTTTGGAAAGGGAGTGTTTACCAAGCAGTACCATTGTACACTGGGAACAGGCAGCTTGCTTTTTTGATTCCCAAGGGTTTACGCCTAAGAATTTGCTTGGAGTCTCAGAGGAGACTTTGCACTTGAACTTGGGTGGGGCTGGAACTGTGGAGGCTTTGAGCAGGGAATCAGAGCATTACCGGTGTACACAGGATGGTTGTGTCAGGTTAGGTGACTTAGGAAATTGTAGCTATCTTTATTTGGGACTAAATATGGTTTAAGGAGATGAGTTTGAGTGTCAGGTTGAGAAGAGGAGGGATGGCCAAACTGACTGGCCTGGACACACCTAGGGGATTAGTAGCCTGTACTTCTGGGTGGGTCATGGAGGCGTGACCCCGGGGACTCTATCTGGGCTCCTCTCTTCTCTCGGGCTCTGTCCCCCTGCTCACCATGCAGTGAGCAGCCACGCGTCACCATATCCTCCTGTTGGGATGTTCCTGTCACGGAGCAGCCAACCATGGTGGAAACCGTGAGCCAGATTAAATCCACCTTCCTTTAGGCTGAGGGGGCTGAGTAATCGGTCCCAGCAATGCACACACTGATGAGTCCAGATGTTACGGGAGAATATAAACATGGAGCTGGGCACCTTCGGGACAGGACACTGACACATGGATGAGACCCTGGGTTCATCCCACACACTGAAAAAAAAAAGGAACAAAAAGCAGGTTGCAAAACAATAGGCAGAATATAATTTTATTACGTTAAACATGTTGATTTGCAAAATATGGGCACTTGCAGACAGCAATGATTCGGTGAATGAGTTTTAATCCTCTACTCTTCCTTCTGCAGATTTTCTACAAAGGGACACCTACGTCTTTTAATTAAAAGGTGCATAAGTAGTAACAGAATTTTCTTTGTCATTTCGGCAAAGTTCATTATACTTCTCAGAAGTCTGAACCCTCAGGTTTTACCACTGAAAAGAATCAGAACCTTTGCGCGACGGTTGTGGGTCACGCTCAGCCTCCGACTTAGCTTGGGGTTTGAGGAGTGCCCCCTGCGGCCCCGGTCATCCGATTGCCCTGTACTCTGGGCTTCCTCCTGGTGAGTATTTCCAGAGTCCATGCAAGGACAGGTTTCCCACCCACCTCCGTGGGGTGCTCTCCGAGTGATAATTCCCGGCCTTAGCTTTAGTAAAGCTGTGTGATAGATACAGTAAGTTGGTGATCAAATCAAGTGAAAATCACTCCTACCTAATGAAACAATGACTCCCTCAGACTTTCCTGGACCAAAACATGTCCCACTTACAGGGCCTCCTCCCCTTGCTGGTCTGAGCCCACGACTGGGCTGTTTTTCAGGATTGTTCAGGTGGAAATGTTTCTCAAGGCTTGCGGCTTGGAAGGAGCACTCCGGAGGCCCTCACTGCAGGGCCAGGGCCTGACCTCAGGAGGGCACCCACGCAGGGACTTCCCATTGGCCTCAAAGCTCAAATTCCAGGATGGTGGGGAATGGAGGCGGCTCTCCACTACGTCCCCAGCACGCAGTGCAGCGCCGTCCTACGGTAGGAAACCAGAAATACGGATTCCTGAATGAATCAAGAAATCTGGTTAGAGTGACCTAACCTTGATCCGCGTTAGCACTGGCCTTCCCAGCTGTTCTCCCCACTCTGCAGGGCTGTGGTACAGCTTGTGAGGCCGTGAGTTCAATTCCTGATACCAAAAGAGGCAAACAAAAAAAAGAAAGAAAGTCATGGTCTCTCTACCCCCCAAGGTGATTAATTTTAGGTATCTGTCATTGCATTAATATATTTGCTAAAGTTAAAAGGAAAACATCTCCCTAGTATCTCTGGCTTCCTTTAGCTATTAAAATGTTATCCCTTGTTTTGAATCACGTATTTTTTTTTGTTTATCCGTACCGGGGATCGAACTCACGACAGCCTGCTTGCAAGGCAGGCACTTATGCCACTGAGCTAAATCCCCAGCCCCTTGAATCATGTTTCTTGTAAGCAAATGTGACTTTCAAGGTTTATGCAAATACTCTCTAAAGACTTTCTTTCTTTTCTTTCTTTCTCGTTTCATCCCTTATTTTAGCACTGCTGGAGATCAAACCTAAGACTCGAGACCACCAGGCCAGGGCTCTACCCGAGCAGCACCTTCTAAGCCCCCTCCCCACCCGTACACAGGTTCTTCTATTACCTAACTTTCCTCTTTTTCTTCTACAAACCTCATTCATGTGTGTGAAACAAACCCTTGAGTGACAAGAAACTTCTAGAATAGAAAACAGCAACCTTCGCCAAACCTCTACCTGTGCTCCAAATGGCCCCAGGAAAGACTTCAAATGAAGTACTGAGCACTGAAATTTCAACTGATTTTTAAAAGCTGCTTCTTGGTTCAATTTCTACAGCGACTCTGTCCGTGTGGGTGTGGAGGGGGTGGCCAGGGGCGGGAGATACAATAGGGCTCACCAAAGGGCTTACTTTGTTTGGTACCAGGGATCGAACTCATGACCTCATGCTTGCCAGGCAGGTGCTTGTGCTGCTGAGCTAAATCCCCAGCCCTGACCCTATGGTTTTAAAAACTGAAGTTAAAAAACAGACTTCGGGGATCTGACTGGAGGGTGAAGTCGCTGACCACCTGAGGCTCAGCCTCCCTTTCTCTGGGGGAGGGTTTCCAGGACGGAGCCCTTAGCTAGAAGCAAGCACAGCAAACTTGAATCACAATGCTGATGATGTACCCTGAAAGTTTTCATTTTTTAAAAGAAAAGGCAGCAGGTTTGTTGAGTAACAATCAACTGACTAATAAATTCCTCTAACACACAGCCTTCTTCAAATACAGATCACATCTGCAAGAGGCCTACACAAGCTGGACACTGAACTCAGGCACCTAGTGTGGAGAAGAAGAAGGCTGTGTATAACAGCTGTGTATAACAACAAATACAACTCAAACTGGCCTTCCAGAAATAAAGGGCACACGCTGGTAAGGAATCCAGAGACTTTTAGGTGAGGATGACTCAGCAGCTCAGCCGGACCTGGTCTGAATCATTCTAAGCCTGTTTTTCCTCATGGTCACAATGAGGCTGCCAGGTGCTGTCAGGCCCCATATCCTTGTTCCTGTTCCAGTGGAAACCTCTCTTGGTAGCTTCCAAAAAAGAGAAAGGATCATCTTTCCGAGAACCTCTTGTCCGCCACCCTCATGACGGACACCAGACGGACTAAGTGACTTCAACCACTCTGGTGCTGGCGCTGCACGGGGAGTCAGGCCACTTGAGAGAGCACTGTGGGCTCCCACTTAGCAAAAGGGGAGAAGTCCAGAAGGAGCCCCAGCAACAGGAGGTGATGGAGGAGACACCATGTCTGTGTCCCTGCCCTCAGGAGAGACCACAGAAAGTGCTAAAGGCTCCGTGTGACTGAGTCGCTCTGGCAACTGCAGAAGAGCCGGCTTTGCACCCTGGGGCGATGCAGGGGGCACCCAGAGAGCGACCACTCCTGGGTCGCCCTGCTGGCTGCCCCGAGGAGCTGGGGACCGCAATCCGGCCAGGCCTGGAGGCAGGGCAAGGCTTGAGGGATTGAGGGAGCCGGTGAGCAGGGGGCCCGGTGGAGGGCGGCTGGAGAGCCTGCCTTAGGCAGGGACAGGACCGGGCAGTGAGCAGATGGGGCTCACGTACTAGCTGGGAAAGATGGCACCCAGCAGGTCGTCCCCAAAGTGAAGCTCACTGGTGACAATTTGTAGAAAGCTTCCAATGAACAATTTAAAGGCCTTACTAAGTTTGAGCCTCTGGCGTGAGAGACCAAAACCAGCAACGAGATCAAAAAGGAATTTGGAGAAAGCAGACAAGATTCAGAGAGGGAAATACGTTTTTAAAAAGCATGACTAATATCCTGGAAGGCATACAATATTGCACTAACAGCACGAGCACGGCTATCTTTCAGAAGGATATAAACCAATAAAAGCAAACCCTTTGGATTAGAACTACGGGAAGCAGGGGGTGGTGGCACACGCCTGGCACTTGGAAGGCTGAGGCAGGAGGCTCAGCATGAGCATCACTGTGAGTCCAGGGCCAGCCTGCACCAACTAGTGAGACCCTGAAGCCACACTGACTTACGAACTGATACGACTCCACCCAACGCACCCCATCGTCCAGACCTGAAATCTGATTTCCAAATACCAGATCTCCGACCACATCAAAAGACCTCAGAACTTTTCACCCTAGTGTCACCAATGATATGAGCATCCTCCGGGCTCTGGACTTTGGAGGTCAGAAGCACTTGACAAACGTCTGTTGTTGCTGGTGTTGTCATTTTTGTTTTAAATGAGCATCTGTTTGAAAAATGATATGAATGGCATAGAACACTTTTCAAACATTTCTAACATCAAGAGGTCCTGAGCAGAGAGCTCACTCTGCGCTCACTGAGTCACACAGGACTGAAGGACTCTGCTGGGAATGTCCAAACTTACTCCAGGGCCTTTTAGAAGGTCATCGAGCCAAAGTTTAAAGACAAACCTAGGACTGGCTAACTTAGAGCAGACTATTCTGCAGCAAACCTACAATTTCAGCGCCATTTGACCCCCAGATATCCAAAAGTGCAGAGAAATGCAAGCGTGCACGTGCACACACACACACATGCACACACGTGTGCTTTTTTATCACTTTTGTCAAGCTGCCTGCCTCACCCCACTGGGGACCCGGGTGCTGTGCTCACCTGCAGGCCCTACTTGGGGGACTATCGAGGCACAGGCAGCGTGGGGGAGAAGGAGACTGAACACGTTCCAGACCCCGAGGTGCAGAACCCCGAAAAGGACTTGGGCACACTCCACTGTTCCCAGGAACCAGAAGGCGGGAGGCTCGGGCCTGGACTGCAGGAATGTCCCTGAGTGAGCCCAGGACGCACACCCTCCCGCTGCACCCGAGAGAGAAAGCCAGAAACTAAAACAAAACAATGGGAAAGCTTTTTTAATGAAGGAAAATGAAATGATGGCTCGGTGAACTCTGCATCGGAAAGCAGTGAATGTGTTTGTAAACCAAAGCAAGATGTTGAAACCGTAGAAAGAGGAGGATTTCAAAACAACACAGAAACCTTGACATAAGGGGGCCGGGGATTTAGCTCAGCGGCAGAAGCACCTGCCTTGCAAGCAGGCGGTCGTGAGTTCGATCCCCGGTACCGATAAAAAAGATTAAAAAAAAAAAAAAGAAACCTTGACATAAAGCGGTTCAGTGGTGGGAAACAGACGTGAATGTGTGTAAGCGGGGTGGAAAGAGGCCAAGAGCCAACACGGAGGACAGATGGGGGTCGCCGTGTTGCAGGGGACCCCAGGGAGGAAGGCAGAAGTGGTGCTAATGCCATGCACGGGGTGGTTCCATCAAACGACCCATTCAGACTCTTTTCACCTTAAACACGTTGGGGAAGGTTACTGATGTGCTCACAATGCGTCCAGAGACGCTGACCATGGAAGTGACTCTCAGGGATGACCTTGCGGCCCCGAGCCCTGGCAGCCTGAAAGGTGAGCGGGTAAGGCACCCAGCCCCGCTGCTCCTGCAGCTCCCCCGGGATCAAGGCCCCCTCACTTAGCAAATGACTTTCTTTTGAAAAAGAAGATCCAGTTCCCTTCCCAAACAGCTACCTCCAGAGCCACTAAGGGCACCCACAGGGGATCACACGCTGCTGTCCGTTCCCTACCTCCCTGGCCAAGGGCTGCAGTCTCATCCCCAACACTCACTGTGTATTTTAGGAAAACTAAAAAATAAACCATCACTCCCAACACAGCGACCCAGAAGTTCTCGCTTTGGCAAAACAGAAGCCTGAAATTAGACTTAAGGATCAAACACTGCGTTCCCACGGGAGGGGGATGGTGGCCCTGACTCCCAAGGGAGCACTGCGGCGTCCCGGAGGCCCCGGCGGGCGGCGGGGCAGGAGAAGCAGGTGGTGGAAGGGCCTGTCCTGCGGCTGGTGTGCGCCTGGCTTTGTGGCTCACAAAGGCAGTGGTTCTCTGGGAACTGCGAGGCACTGACCAGATCCCTTTGTCTCTGTGAACCAATGGGAAAGCTGGCATTTCCTCACCTGTTTTCAGGGTCCCTGTGGCTAATGAGAAGGGGGCAGATCAACCTGAAAGTCTTCAGTGACTACGCTCTGCAGAAAGCAACAAACAAGGGGGTTTTCAGCTTTTGAGCGTGTGTGAGTGCACACAGGGCTGCAAGTGAGCTTTCCTGTCTGAGTGAGGAGACACAGTGCCAGGTGGCCGGGTTCTACGAGACCGAAATCACCCTGAACATTTACTATACATCTTATTAAAGTTTTACCTCGGATCCTCCAAACGGCTGGCCCTTGGTTTTCTTTTCCGGACCAATGCCCAGCTCTCCACTGAACTCAAATGCCACATGTGTGTGCTGGAAAACCTGTGCAGTGTGCTGTGTAAGGTCCTGCAGATTCCAAGGGGGCTTTGCTCTGGGCAGAGAAGGAGCCCCAAGGAGAAGTCCTCACACCAGGCCCACAGTGGACAGGAAGGTCCCTCTCCTGCCAGGAGCTCACAGGCCTCCCCCAAGCTGAGGCTGGCTTTGGACCCAGTTCAGTGACCAACAGTGACACCAGCTCACCATGCAATCAGCGTGTTCAGGATGCTGGGAGCTTCTGAAGGCCCCGTCAGGTCACTGAGGCCTTGGGTACAGAGCTGCTTGCGGCCTTCCACAGCAGAGTCACCTCTCAGGCCCTGGTGAGCTGCTTCTCCATCCACCAGGGTTTCTGGGGCGTTATGAGTTTAGGTGTGTCCACCTCAAAAAAGGGCACCTAATCCCCAGTCCCTCAGAATATGACTTTATTTGAATGTAGGGCCTTCACAGTGCTAAAGTTAACGTGAAACCACTAGAGTGGACTGATAGTCTTATGAAGAATGAAATCTGGACACAGAGAGGCACACATAGAAGACAGTAGCTGTGGGAAGTCAACACTAAAGGCCTGAAACAGACTCTTCGTCACCATCTGCAGAAGAAACCAGCCTCAACAGCACGAGTTCAGGCTCAGCTTCCAGATCGTTAAACCTTGAGTTTTGGTACCTTGTATTTTGATTCAATTGGCTTCCTCTCCTGCAAGACCCAGGCAGGTCAGGACCCGGGAGGGTGAGTCTGCACCTTGTCCTCTCCAGCAGGAGGACAGAAATGAGCTTAACAAGGGCAAGCAGTGAACTTGGGGAAATTCAAAGGGATTTGTCCTCTATCAGGTTCAGTCTTTGGTCCAAACTCGAAATGCAATGGAAGCAGAGTCCACGTCTGGCTGCGGGTGCTTGTGGGCATAAGACGGCTGGGAGGAAACGTCACAAACAGGGCTGTATGTGACTTGACCTGAAACAAAATGGAGTGGATTCGTGAACAATACACAAACCCAAGCAGCCAAATTGATAAATTTGGGATTTAATTAGCTGAGCTCAGCGACCACTGGCGTAGAGACTCCTGTTTCAGAGTCTCACTGAGTGGCCCTGAACCGGAAAGTTACAAAGCTTTTAAAACAGAGAATCAGAAAAAGACATCCTGTTGGAAACAATTTAGCTAGAATCTTACATGAATTTTTGGTTGACACCTGTATTCTGCTTCTTTGTTGAGCGGGTTAATTTTTTTTTTTTTTTTTTTTATCAGTACCAGGGATCAAACTCATGACTGGCTGCTTGCAAGGCAGGCGCTTATGCCACTGAGCTAAATCCCCAGCCCCAAGCAGGTTAATTTGTTTCGTCTCATTCTGCTTTTCTCATGGAACTTGTACACTGGGTAATTTTCCATTTTCCTGAGTCAAACACAGGACACTAGTTACATGCAGGGCTCAAGATGGTGTCAGTTATGCCAAGCTGCAACACAAAATAGAGAGCATTGGTATTTTTAAGGACCTCCAGGAAAGCTTTACATGTTGTTTCCCCCACAACCTTCCCCTCTACCTAAACTTATTCTCAGCTAAGGTTTTAGCAATAAGAAAGGACTTCAGCTACAGGAGTTTTTTGTTTTGTTTTTGGTCGAAGTAAAAGATACAGTATATTTCATGGGATATACTTACAGAAATAATTATATCTTGTTCATCAGAGCTCAAACTTAACTGGACCTCCTTTCCTGTGTGGCTGTATGTAGCAACCCTACTCCGGCCCCGAAGCCAGCCGGGGAGCTCGGGTGGGTGGAGGAGAGCGCAGCCCAACAAGGATGCTGCTTCCCGGACAATGGGTGGCCTTTGCCTCCTGCACTGGTCAGAGGCCTGCAAAACGAACCTCTTCGAGGCAGCGCGCGAGGCTGCTGTCCTCCTCCGAGGCGCACCAGCCTCGTCCGTGCAAACAGCACGGGCCCCCTGCTGCACCCAGGGCTCCCCCAGAAGCAGCTGGGCTGGGACTGGCCGAAAGCCCCAGAATCCTGCAGCAGCGCTCCCGCTCCGCCGCGATGCTCCAGCGATGGCCGCCGCGCGCCCCCTGGTGGCCACATCGGGAGAAGCAGCTCACCCTGGTGGCCACCAGAATCCAGGCCGGAGGGGACTGAGCCCTGCGTTAGCTGCTGCCCAGCAGCAGTGGGCAATGTGGCCCACTGCACGGAACTACCTTGTCCGCGGTCACGCTTTTCCTGGGCAGCCCTAGCTTTGACTGAAAGGCAGGACAAAGGCACTGCCGTTTTAGCTTGACATAGAACAGAGAAATAGGCAACATCGCTGCCCGAGCACCTTGCCAGGTCCACCAGGTTTGGCTAGGCCCAGGTGGAGTCCAGCACCTGTCCTGCCCATGCTGCCTCCTCCCGTTTTTGTTCACAATAAGCACCTATTCTCATGTACCTCCCTCTCCAGGTCTGCTTCTGAGGGCCCAGCCCACAGCAGAAAGTGCTAAGCCTTTCAGAGTCTGTGGTCACTTTCTTGCTGTTTTCCATCTGTCTGTCTTACCAATTTGTAGTTTAGTGTGGAGACAAGCTCATCAGCTATGTGCATGGTACGTATTTTCTCCCACTCTGCGGCTTGCCTTTTGTGTTTCTTCATCGTGTCTTTGAAAAACAGAAAGTCAGGTCAAGGGTTTAGCTCAGCAGCTCAAGTGCTTGCCTGGTGTGAGGTTGTGAGTTCGATCCCCAGTACACTACCCCCCTCAAAAGAAAACCGGAAAGTCTTTATTGGAATATAATTTGATGTATCAAACATTTTCCATCTTGGAAATACTCTTTCTATCCCGTTTAAGACATCTTTTTCTACCCTGAGGTCGAGAATATATTCTCCTACAATAATATATCCTAAAAGTATGTTTTGCCTTTCAGATTTAGGTTTTGAGCCACCTGGGATTACTTGCTGTGTAAGGCAGCAGGAGACGGCAGTCCATCACCCTTTTGGCCAAATGCATATGCTGCTGTCCATCTCTGGAAATGTCCCCCCACCCCACCAGTGTGTTGATTCCATCACGGAGTTGACCTCAGCCAGGGCCCTGTCTCTGGGGTCCCCCGCTGTGTCATCCGCCTGCTTGTCAGCTCATCTCCCAAATCCAACCCAAATCCCAGATTCCTTTTCCTCCCTGATTTTCTTTTTTTTTCTTTTTTTTAAATCTTTTTATCAGTACCAGGGATCGAACTCACAACCGCCTGCTTGCAAGGCAGGTGCTTATGCTGCTGAGCTAAATCCCCAGCCCTTCCCTCCCTGATTTTCATTGAGGTAAAATACACACAACATAAAGCTTACCATCTTAATCATTTTACAGTATATGATACAAACCATCCTCGCCTTCTACTGCGTCTTGTGAAACTGAAACCCAGTACACAGGACTCTGCACTGTCCTCTCCTCCGAGCTTCAGAAAGCCAGAAAGCCACGCTGCTTGCTGTCTTTATTATGCAGAGTACTCTACTTCCCTCACAGAAGTGGAATCTGGTAGTGCGAATCCTTGTGACCAGCTACTATCACTTAACACGACATTTAGTGAGACGTCTGTTTTAGGGTACATCAATTTCTTTCCGTTTTGAGGCTGAATAATATTCCGTACAGCACCTTTTGCTTTGTCCATGCTTTCCGTCATTCATGGACACTTGGGTTGCTTCCACAGTTAACTATTGTAAGTGATACTGCTGTGTTACGTTATGATTTTTTAAAATTAATTAATTAATTTATTTATTTATTTATTTATTTGAGACAGGGTCTCGCTATGTAGCCCAGGCTGGCCTTGAACTGTGTACCTCAAGGTGGCCTTGAGCTTGTAGTGATTCTCCTGCCTCTGCGTCCAAAGTGCTGGGATTATAGA